ATACAACAGCATTCCCCCCTTTTTCTGCACGTGATGTCTATTTTCTCCATTCCCCAGGCTCCGAGAATCGACTAATTGTTTTCCATTTTTCATCGTGATTTTTGAAAGTTCTGTTTGGTATTCCGCGACATTGTCGGCCAAACGCGGTCAGTCCTGAACGGCATCGCCTCGACTCATCTTTCGTCAAATTCAGCCTGGCAGGTTTCGGAGGGGGACGCGGGAAAGAGAATCGCGAAGGGTACGAAGTGAGCGCGAATGCATCACGCGCGGGGAAACGAATATCGGGCGAATTGTGGGGCGCAGTGGCGGTTTCATTCATTCATGGGGAAATTCATTGACTCGCAGTGGCCTCGATTGTATTTTGTCGGACGCACCGGCGAGTCTCTATTCCGCGCGCGCACGCAAGAGAGAAAGAGAGAGAATTCCAGGGAATTCATTATCTCCCGCTCTTCTCTTCGCCGGCACGAGGGAAAGGGGGCGGGAGAGAGGAGAGGAGAGGAGAGAACGGTCGCGAAGCGTGCACTGGGAGCGCCCTGGCCGTTAGAATTATATCGGCGAGGAGGAGCCCTCCGCCGCGAGATATAATAAGGTCAGACAGCAGGTTATCATCGGGGTGACCGGGCATCTCTCTTTCTCTTTCTCTCTGTCTTGCTCTTTCTCTTCTCGCGAGGGAAACGATAAAACGAAATATATGCATACCGAACGCGGCCGTTCTCTCGCTGGAGCTGCTCCAAATCTCCGCCGCGAACTCCTGTTCTCGCCCCGTTTTTCCATTCTCTCCTCAGTCCTCGGCCGTTTTCCACGCTGATTCCTGAAATCTTGCGGCTCTCGACTTTCGTAAATGTTGCCCCTCCTCGGCAAATTAAGCTTCAATTCGGCGTTGTCGCATGCTTTGACATTTTTGTGCGCGTTATTTTTTCTTTCAGACGCGCTTCTGTTACATTATTTCGCTTAGAGATAGAAATCGTTTGCGGAAGTAGTGGGTCGTTTCATGAATGTGCACGCGCGAAACGTTATCCGACGAAATGTATTTCACCCGGTTGCAAGAAGAAGAAATATAAGTATCGAAGAGAGCGAGCACGCGCGCCGGACGAAACGAGACGTTATCTCGCTATGATAACGATTGCAATGAGGATTCTGAATGAAGCGTTCTGTTCGACGTGGCGTACAGATCGTCGGCTGTACGCGGGCCCCTTAGTATTAAAACCTGCCGCGCGTGCCTAATCGGAGCGGATCCTCCGTATTTCCGCAGTCAATCATTCTTCACATTTGCTCGAATGGCGAGATCGGGAAACTCGCAGACGAACGTAGACGGCGTTTTTTCGTTCGACGAATCAGGAATCACAAACTTCCCCCTTTCCCTCCTTGTATTTAATAAAAAATAATTGAACCATAATTCATGAAGAAATTTAATCTCATAATTAAGACAAATATTAAACCTCACAATTAATAAAAAATGTCTGAATACAATAATAATAATAATGCTTTACATATCGCAAAAATAAAATCTGATTAAGTATACTGGTATAATTAATTGAGTCCTTTGAGTGTAGACAAGTGTAGATGAACGCGCCTGTGCTGGGATTCTGCAATTCATTATTGAAGTTAATGACAGTTTCGTTATCATTGCGCAGCTTTTGTATATCGTAAAAAAATTGCACAACGATAACAAAACTGTCATTAAATTCAATAACAAGTTACAGAATCCCTGATATCGTGTGCTTATCTACACTAGTCTACACCGAAAAAGAACTAAATTAATGAACCAGTGTACACTGAGATATCGCCGAAAGCCACTTCGACGATTAAGGTTCTCAGCAACTCCATGTGGAATCCTGGTGAAAATTGAAATTGGAGAGTAAATAAAGTGTAAACGAAGAGTGACGAAGAAAATGTAAGTGAAGCACTTACAAAACGTAAATTGAAACAGCACATTTGTGCTATTTTGAAATTTTCCTGAACAGCGGGTACGCTTGCTTTACGTTCCGATGTTTCAATTTACGCTTTGTAAGCGCTTTACTTACACTTCCACTTTACTCCGCTTTACTCACTCTTCGTTTACACTTTATTTACTCTCCAATTTCAATTTTCACCAGAGAAAGGACACGCGCGTCCTGGTGTCGCGATAGTTCACTCTCGCGAGGTAACAAGCGCGCACCTACTGCTTGGGAGAGATAAAGGGGGTGAATAGGGAAGGAGGGAAATAGAGAGAGAACGGAGTGATTAATTTCGTTCGAAGTGGGATGCTCCAAGCATGATAAGTACCGCGCAACTGTCAACGTGTTCTCTTAGAAGAAACGCTTTGTTTACGGGGCCCGGGGAGAAGCGTGGCTTTTGGCAGCACGCCAGCGGTGCACGACGATGCATTGTATTGCCGCGGAGGCTACCGGCGATCCTTTTTAAGGCCGCGAATCGAATCCGCCATTTTTGTCTTTCCGTGCATGCGCTCCGGCGTGAGGCCACAAGTCCTGTCCACTCGTGATTTATCTGGGATTTATGTATGCATTTCTGCGAGAAATCGTGAAAGGACGAGCCTCTCATTCGTGGAAACGGCGCTTCTAGGATCGGTGGCCGTCCACGGAAGCTCGATTTGCCTTGATTTGTCGTCGTTCCAGCCATAAATATGTAGCACGTCACCTTGTTTGTTATCCGTTTCCCGCATGTCACGAATAGGACAGGTATTTCTCATCTCTCAATGATTTCCGAACTTGAGTTTGAAATATGCGTGAAATATGCTTCTCTCGACATAAGGATAAATGAAGAAAAAAGAAATGAACACAGATTAACATAATAGTTTTCACACGTAAAATTACCTTTCTAGAGTATATATATAATAATATGAAAAATTCCAAAAGTTTTACTTATTATTATTAATGTTTTACTAATATTATTAAGGCTCCTGGGAAGTCGCATCATCCATCTCTTTTTAATGACGTCAGAAGCGAGAAAACGCATGCTAAAAATTCCTGCAAAATACGTCGAGATAAACAGATATATCCACAAAACGACATTTGCGATCGATTAAGTACAAAATACTAAAGTACTCCGTACACTTTCCTTTTGTTCTAACAATCAACAGATAATTATAAAATAAATGTGACGTGCAATCGTTTTTTCTAACCTAATTTCCTCATTATCTTGTCATATTAATTTTCCGATTATCTATTGATTTTTAGAACAAAAGGAAAGTGTACGGAGTATTTTAGAGGTGTACTTAATCGATCGGAAATGTCGTTTTGTGGATATATCTGTTTATCTCGACGTATTTTGTAGGAATTTTTAGCATGCGTTTTCTCGCTTCTGACGTCATTAAAAAGAGATGATGCGACTCCCCAGGAGCCTTAAGTTTTACTTATTATTTATAATGTTTTATATATATCGAGTATTATTACATAAAGTTATGATAAACGTATAAAAGAATTAATGTTAATCCTTTACGTACAATCATATTTTTTGAATCATACAATACATTTTGAATCTGTCAGACCCGAACAACTTTGAATTATTATGATTTCGTTGGAAACCGTTATTGTTGGAGAAAACTGCACAATTTTTCCCTGAGATATAGAAAAGCCTAGATAAAAAAAGCAATATGGTTGGCTCACACATAGATCTGATTGTGCCAACCAGATCTTTAATTTCGAGTAAGTAAAGTATATGATAGTAGCGCAATAAAATCAAAATCTGCAAACAGATTTGTGCTATTTTGAAATTCTCCCGCACTCTACGAAAATTAGTAAGCGATCGAATATTCGTTCGGGTCTCACAGACCCAACATTGTGTACAGAGAATTAAAATCCTCGGAGGATGTCAATAAAGGTATGTAATACCGGTTGTGTACGTTTGGTATTTGTCGATATTGATCTAACATTGGTTGTATAGAAAGAAAAGAAAACGATATGCATTGATATTTATCGATATCGATCTGATACAGATAGCAAACAAGAAAAGAAAACGAAGTCATTGGACGCGAGGCGGCAGCGTCGCGGAGAGACGCGCGTGAGAGATACTGTCCTGAAATAGGAACCGTTGTTGTCCGCTTTCATCGGCGCGCGTCGCGCCAGGGTGGACGTCCGTGTCTCGCCGAGGAGGCGAGAATTTCGCGGAGCGCCAAAGAAGCCGGACGTTCCTCGGCTTCTTTTTCGAATACCTCGAAGGCACGCATCCCGTTCGCGTCCCCTTTCGCGTTACCCGCCTGTCCCTTCGGTTCCCGGCGAGAGGCGCGCGCTCACCGTGCCCGAGGTGCATTCCTGCACGAGCGTATTTCAATATAAACAATTGGCGAGTGATTTTTTCCTAGGCCCGCGCGAGTGATTTCTAGCCGACGTGACGGCGATGCTTCTGTCTGCGATCGCGACCCCGTCGGCCTTTCGGCCGGAGGCACTTCACGATCCGTTTCTCTCTCTCTCTCTCTCTCTCTCTCTTTCCTTCTCTTCGTCTTCCTCTTCGTCTCTCATCTTTCTCGTTGTGCTTTTTTTCCCGACGCTTCTCTCGCTTTCTTCTCCTCTGCCTTCCGCGTCGTCGAACTCCGCTCGATCTTTTCCTTCCTCTTTCTGCTTGTTCTTTTCGGTTTCAAAAATATCAGAAAAAAAGAGGGAGAAAGAAAATGAATTCATTTCATATATCGAAAATAATTAGGAAAATTGCAGATCAAGTCGAAATATGCGAAGAAAGTTATATAGGGTCGCAACAGGGGATCACACTGACGTGAGGGTTGGAATAATCAGAACACCAGTCGCGCGTACTTTGTAACGTGATATTTTCTTATTATAACATCTGCAAAAAAGACCAGTCGCGTTACATCTACAACTCGTACATACCGCCGCTTATGCGTCTCGACATTGGTTACATCGTCAGTAATGCTTTTATTACTCATCGTAGCGGTGAGCTACGCGCGTCGCTACGATACAATATATATATATATATATATATATATATATATATATATATATATATATATAGATTTATTTATATATTTATATTTCTTTGCAATTTATTTATATATATATATATATATGTATATATATATATATATATATGTTCATATATTTTCATATTTATATATTTATATGTATTTATATTTATATATTAATTATTTACACGCGTCTTTTATACAAAAAATGTTCACGACTTTATACATAGCTATGTATAGAACGTCATTCGCGCTCTGACGTGTGCGCACACGCGCTCGTAATCGGTATTATAATACATTTTTGAGTTTCGTGAGCAACCGCATCATTGTCGACGAGCATCCTCGAGGAGGATCCACGAGTCGGAGGGACGAGTTTACGTAGAATCGAGGGAGCGTGTCGATAAAGGATATGTGTTGTGTCTATGTTTCGTTTTTCTTGGACAGAGTAGTAGCGGCTCGAGTCGGTAAAACGAGGACTGTGCATTCCCGGGGCAATTGTCTGTCGGCGACGTGAAAGTTTTCGGATTTCCCGGCGGGCGACATCGCCCGGACACTCTAAGCGTTTAAGTACTCGATGCGCGATAGCGATCGTCCACCACCTCCTCGAATCCGAGTTCCGGCGTCTTCCCGAAGTAGTAAAAGACTCGCGTTGCGTGCGATCCGGTCGCGATACCGTTAACTGGATCCCGCTCGAGGTTAGCCAATCGCAGAACCTCCCCTATCAAGGAACGACCGCTGCTTAAAAATATTACAAATATCCCATACACCCCTAAGTGCTCCACTAAGTAACTAGCTCGACATTGCCACATTTATTATAACGTAGTATTCAAATATCTCTTCATAATATCATTAAACAACCCTATACAACGCGCTGAATCCGTGTTTGTATACATGTGTGCATATGTGTGGCGTGTATGTGTGCGTATGCGCGCGGGCGCGTGTGTCTGTTTGTGTATATGTATATATTGTACAATATTTATAAGATAGAAAAAGCACCGTTTCGAAAAATCGGGTTTCAATTTTGACGTACATATATCACATTATTTTGCGACCTCACTTTCATACTTCTCTCTCTCTCTTCCCCTCCCTCCCTCCCTCCCTCCCTCCCTTTCTCTCTCTCTCTCTCTCTCTCTCTCTCTCTCTCTCTCTCTCTCTCTCCCCTACACGCGCGCACACACACACATTCACACATGTGCACACTTTTATCCTTTTTCATACTAATTTTCACGCACACACGTACACCGCATTCGCATTAATACACACACGTATCACTCCGCCGCACCGTCCTTATTTTCTCGCATATTCAACTCGCAGCTATCTTATCTTTACATGTCTCTCTTACGTCGACTCATCGGAGACTCAGCGACGAGCAGTATCGAATATTCTTCACATTTCAATCAAAAATATACCTCGATATATGTATATATACGTCTCGTAGCGTTGCGTTTCGACTTGAACCCGTTACATCCCGAGCTCACGTTTCTCCCGAAAAGTTTCGGAATCTCTCTGGAGAAAGATTTACAAATTATCGATATTCTATCATATTAATATAATCGCATTAATTTTTCTCGTTAACAACGCAGAATGCATAAATAATAGCGCGTTCACCGATTAAAGTTGGCAGGAGTCACAAAACAAAAAAGAAAAACATGGTTTGTCTTCAGAGCTTTTATTAATTATTATAAATAACAAAACGTGGATCGCAAGCGGCGGAGGACGTAACAGGCCAAGTTGTCGGTCTCCTTTACAATCCTAACGAGTCATCAGGATCGCCATCCAAGTTTTTCATCATTAACAATCGCGGACATAATTAACCAACGTAACGCGCGATCCTGTGATCGGAGATTCGCGAGATTTCGCCCTGAATATTTTGAAATAGTCGATGCAACTGGACAATCCCGATTCACCTTGGCGTGTTTCCGCCGGACGTCGCAGCGACGTCGTCGCGTGTTCACCGTGTGTTTTGTGGATTTCGGACGACCGACCGATCCTGTGAGCTCCGCGAAATGAATCGTAACACGATGACGTGACACGCGCAATGGCACTGGCATACAAGAGAAGACATCGTATCGCACTTGATCGTGTGTCGCCGCGTGCGCTCTTAAGTAACCCAAAGTAAAAATATCGTATTTACAAGATATAATATCAGTTGATATCGCGCGGTATTGTCATCCAAGTTGAACATCGCGTGTGTGGGATTTCGTCGTGCCGCACGATGCTTCCTCTCCCTCAAGGGGAGAGCCGCTTCCCGAGACGAGATCTCGCCGTCGGGATCATCGCCGTAATCCCTATAATACGTTAAGTGAAGATACGCGATCGTTTCGCGTCTTTAAGCGCTCTATTTTCGCAGGAAAGCCGCTGTACGCGTGCACGGTACCGCCGCGGAAACGCAAAGAGAATCGATTCACTTTCGCGTGATTTCACAAGTTCCTCCCGTGTGATTTCACGTCGATCGCAATGCTCCTCGCTTTACATTCTACTTACAACGAACAATCTCTTTTCCCCTTTCGTTTTTTCTCTTGTTCTTACACCGATAAGGTCGTCTCGCTAAGATACCGGATGTGCCGATGAAGCCCGACTCTTCGCTCTTCTCTATCTAAGTACTATGTGTATGTGTATATATAAAAATTTGTACAATATATATTTACTTTTAAATATGTATATATAGACAAACTTCGACAAACGACAACGTCGCGCAGCGTGGTCTTTACAAGAGATTTCATCCTTAAGACTAAGACGGAAAAACGAGGTGAAACGATGCAAATTCAACGAACCGCAAGCGATTTATTTAGTAAAAACGTAACAGATGAGAAAATGCAAAGCGCGAAGAGCGGCGCGGAGGAAAGAGCCGGACGATCCTCAGCCGCGTCTCTCGGAATTATTCTGAATGCATGCTGAAGTGAGTGCGTGCTAATTACAAAAAAAAAAATAAGAAACAAAAAGAAGAAGAAGGATGAACTTGCCACCAATCCGCAAACAAACGAGAATTACGCAAATAATTTAAAAGATACACTTTAACACAAAGACTAAGATCACATCTCTAAGGTCCTCAGAAAATCCCTTGCGCGGTGATTCAAGTGCTATGTTAGTCGATCACGTGGCCATGCGGGGAGAACCGACTCGTTTCCAAAAGTCACGGAAAAGTTGGGCGAAGGGCGAACAATGTTGGAGTGATTTAGATCTGCGGGAGCATCGAACCAGAGTCTCGTCTTGTCTCGTCGTCGACTGAAAGGGATATTTCTGAAAGAATGCACCACCATGGGCCGTGGACTCTCGGAGAACGCAGGCTCTCGTAGAAGAGGCGTCAAGACGAATGACTAAGGCCCATGGCATGACTCGACTAATAGCGAGTACTCGGCGCGAAGATTGATTCGAGATAGCGATGGGAGATCCACCGGCTCTCCCCCGTCGTTGATTATAAATGCTAATTTATGACTTCTTCACGCCACGCTCGTCCTCCTCCTCCCCCCTTCTCCTGCCCGACCCTCCCTCCACCCTCACCCCCTGTTTCTCTCCAACCGCCTCTCTTCCCCTCTATTTCATTCTTCAGCCAGGAGAGATACAACAAAACGCTTATCTATCTATCTATTACCCCCTGGGCCCCACGCTTCCCTCTCTCACTCTCTCATACTCTCGCTCTGTTTCGCTCTTTTGCTCACGCAACATGCGCACTCACACACAAACACAACTGACAAGTCCCTCGCACGCACAATCTCCCCCCTCTCCCTCCCTGTTTCTCTCTCGCTCGCTCGACCACTTTAGCAAGTACCAAGTTTGAACGCCCAGTGGATGTTCCTGGACGCGCTGTCGGGCCACTTGGCGCCTCCGCGATTCTCTGAATGAGCAACGTCTTTATTACATCTTTTCTTCTCGCTCTCTCCCTATCTCTCTCTCCCCCCTCCCCCCTCTCTCTCTCTCTCTCTCCCCCGTCTTACCGCGCTCGCCGAGATTCCTCCCCGTCGTTCGACGAACAAGACGACGTCTCCTCCACACGCCCACTTTTCTCTCCGCTTCGCGCGCATTATCCTATCACTCTCGGTCGAACTTCGTTAATGACCATGCTTAATTCTTCCTCCTGCGAGCCTCCCCCTCTCCGTCGTATGTTTCTTCCCTCTTCAATTTTGCCATCTTCGCGTTCGTTGGTGTGTCCTCTTCCTCTTCTCGATGTCGAGTCGCGTTACGTCGGCGTAGAAACTTCGAGTTCTGACTAAAATCCTGATTTCCGCCACGAGTCCGACCGCCGGTCCTCGCGCCTCAACGTTTCGAGAAACGCTCTCTCTCCCGGAGACGAGGTCTCCTAGAGAAGCGGGTCGATCACGTGGCGTTGTCGCGTGTCACGGCACGACACGCCGGCGAAAGTCGCGACCGCGTAACCGGGCTAATAACAACGTCGACGGGAACGACATTCGTTCGGGACGCGCGCTTCCGACGTCGTCTCTTGGACGCGCGACTTGGCGGACGACGACGGCAACGTCAAGGTGTCGCGCCCGTGCGTCCGTCGTCCTTTTCGTCGTGTCAGCGAGCTTCGCGGACCCGCGATGCTTGCTTTTCTATTTCTTTCTCCCTCTATTTTCCTCTCTCTCTCTCTCTTTCCTTCTCTCTATTCATGAGCGAGTCCGGGTCGCGGCGAGCCGAGCGCTGCGACGTCGCCCCAGGTATAGTGACAGTATTATGCGGAAGCCAGCTGCCGCCAGACAGAGTGTCACATCGTGGTCATGTAGGGCCAGTTGAAGCTGCTGCCGCTCAGCAACATGTCCCTGATGAGCGTCTCGATCGGCGTCTTGCCCACCAGCCGCACGAAGAAAAGCTGCTCGATCACTTGCGACGACACCGTCCTCAGCGACGGCAGTCGCAACAGCAGTTTGCCGAACCTCGTCGGCTGGTTCGGGTATTGCGACCGGCAGTACTCCTCCAGGGCGCACTGCGACTTCTCCTGGACGGACTCGATGTGCGCCACGTCCGACAAACCGCAGGCGTCTATAACAGATAAGAAAAGAAAGGAAGTTTAATGCGCGAAATGCGAGCACGCGTTCATCTACTGTCTAAGGCCCGTGCTAACCGTTGTCATGTTGTCACTTGTCTCATATAAGATACTCAAATTTTTATTCTGAATTAGATTCAAGTTTTTTTTTTCAGTTGAATTATGATATTTACGACATTTATATCTGTAATCCATGATTCAAGTGGAAAACTTATCTAACTCTGAATTCAAATCTGAATATCTTACTTAGGACGAGTTTCAAGTAATGATTATTAATACGGAATAATCTGAGTTGGAGTGAACCCTCACTGAAAACGAGTAAAAATTCACTCGAAACGCTACTTGAAGTCGTAAGGGTAAATATTTCATTCGAATTTATATATTTAGAGTGGATCATTCGAGCTTGTATACTTAGAGTAGATTCTAATTTCATATATATTGGGTGAAAATATTTACTCGACAATTCAGAATGCAGAATTCATTCTTTACGAGTGAAAAATTACTCGGACTTGAATGACCCGAATGTCGCTCTACTTTACAAACGAAATTTCACTTGAAAAATTTGAAGAAGATAAAGATGTCGACACGTTTTTCCTCGTTTCTAATTTCTTCCTCGCGCCGACAAGGAACGGCACTGTAGGTTAGAAAGTCTCTCTTTCTATCTTTCTCTCCTCTCCCCCTCCCTCTCTTAAAATTTTTGCATCGTGAACGATCTTCGTTAGGCGGAGCGTATCTCTCGAGGCGCGGAAGGCGATAACTGTTGCCATTTAATCTACGTGCTAGGAAGAAGCACCTACGCTTTATTATCGGGCTAATTATCGTTGTTGCCCATTAGCCGAGGCATGATTAGCGAGGCGGAGAGTTTCTCTCTAGCGATCTCGAATAGAGAGAACAAACCGGCCGGGAAGCGCCGGGAATAGAAAAAGAAAAAAGAAAAAGAAGAGATTAAACGCCGGCCTCTACCGTCGGCGATGACGAGGAGCGAGAGCGGTCGAACGAGTGGAAATCGAACTTGCGGAAGTGTTCTCGCGAGGACAAATCGCCACGATATCGCTCTTAATCTGTTGCATATCGAACCACGACTGCACGAACTTGACTGCTTAATCTCGCAAAGTTCTACGGATTTTCACTTCTTCGACATAGCTGCGTGGATATTTAACCAAAGTAAGGATGCTAAGTCATACACACAAGAAAATTTAAAAGACAAACCGATCTTATCTTCCCGTTGACAAATTAAATCATTGTGTCCAACGAATAGCAACTGATTGAAGCATTTCTATTATTTCGGTTGAATTGAATAATAAATATGTTACAAATTAGAAATATATAAATTATAAAATATATCCAGTGTGAGAAAAAGATTTAATTTTTCTTAGTTTAATATTAGAAAGCCGCATATAAGTGCGGGCGCGCACACACGTGTTTGTGTTTGCGTGGATTACGGAGTCGGCCAGACTAGGTTTGCGCTACAGGTGTGACTTGTCATACCGACGCAAGGGTTAAGCCTCTCATGGGGTTGCAGCGAAAGCTGCCCCCGGGCAGATGAAACCGAGATCCGCGTTGGAATGCACGTGCCAACCGCGCACAGACGCTGCTAGTGCGAATGTCGGACTAATCACCCGGGCCATCTGCTCGCCGTTAGCCGTGAAACCGCGCGCCATTGTCTCTCGCGGAAAAGCCGGGTCTCTTGTTCGCACGGGAAAGAGAAACGGTGTGCGTATGCCTGCGCAGTCATATATCCGGTGTGTGCCTAAGTAATATCCCTCAATGTCCGCATATTTTCGTATGTGTGCGGAAATTTATTTAGAAAAAGTAGATTTTTCACACAACATTTCAACACAAAATGTCACAATATTTTATAAATAGTATATATATATATATATATATATATATATATATATATATATATATATATACATATATAGCTACGTACATCTTAGGAACTAATATTTGCTGTACTTTTAGCGAAATTTACTGTGTCTTTTAACAAGATAGCACTATTAGGAACATGATAAAATTGAAAAGAATTTATATTAAATAAACTACAATATATAAATATCCTCTCTGTGTATATAACCCAAGAAAAAATCAAAATATTCATTTGAATTAATGCGAAATATTATCAAAGTGTTAACTAGTTAAACTTGTTATTGTTATATTAACAGATGAGAGAGACATTTTTAAATTATGTTATGTTTATTTGATGAGGGGTCGAGAAAAATTAATTGTTAATGTGCATACACTTGATAATCATATATATATATATATATTGTGGCATTATACTATTCGTTTATTTATTGTAACATACTATTCGTAAGTAACAAAATTGTGATAAAAATATCATGATGATGCGATGTTCTATTTCATATTAAATTTTATTTTATAAATTTAATATCTTTTTCATATTTCATTTGTAATATTTTATTTGTGTCCTCGAGCGAAGCTCTCCAAATTATTTGTATCATTAACGCTCGTGACGTTTCTCATCTCATACAACGCTCGTCACGCATATATCGAGACATCGGTCGGTTTCGTTAGCGCGTTTTTCCGTGAAACGGGAGTCGCGTGTCGCGTGGTGAACTACGACGAATTGCTTTATCGAGAGGCGCGCGCGCGTGCGTGAAGAATCGGGATAGCTGTCGGCGTGCATAAATCGGCGGGGACGACGACGATCGAAGAGCGGGCGTGCCGAGGGTGTCGGGGGTTCTTTTTGCGGATGCGAACGGGACGACACATCCTGGTGTTGTTTCACGTTAACATGAGCGAGTGCGAGCGATCCTTTTGGTTGCCACGCGGCGCGCACATAAACGCGCCAACGGACGCGGATTCCTTTGTCGTAGGGCCCACGTGCGCGTAATGGGCCATTACGCGTACGCGGAGAAATAACGCGATTTCGCATTTGCATCTCTGAACAAACGACGTCCGACTGCGTGGAGCGCCGGCGACGCGGAAACCGCGGAGAGCTCGCCGGTTATTCGGGTAAGCGCAACGAGCGCGATCGGAACACGCTATGATTATCAGGTGTATGCACATTAACAATTAATCAATTTTTCTCGACCCCTCATCAAGTAAACATAACATAATTTAAAGATGTCTCTCTCACCTGTTAATATAACAATAACAAGTTTAACTGATTAACACTTTGATAATATTTCGCATTAATTCAAATGAATATTTTGATTTTTCCTTGGGTTATATACACAGAGAGGATATTTATATATTGTAGTTTATTTAATATAAATTCTTTTCAATTTTATTATGTTTCTAATAGTACGGTAGGTCTATCTTGCTAAAAGACACAGTAAATTTCGCTAAAAGTACAGCAAATATTAGTTCCTAAGATGTACGTAACAATGTAAGTAGCACACATTAAAGATTATCTAGTGGGATTGGCAGTAAGACAGTAAGACGTAGGCACAGACAAAACATCGCGCTCATCCCGTTTCGTGACGCGCGTTACGCCTAAATGCATTTGTTTGCTTCGCCATTTTCGCTTGCGACACGCTCGCGTATCATTGCCGAGCGCTCAAGGAAATTCGCGTCTTACGACAGCGAGAAAGAGACAGAGAGTGAAAGAGAGAGCTTCTCATTGCAGTTTCTCGGCGCGTTTCAAGGAACACCATCGCCACGGGTGATAATTCCGCGCGGCTTGTGCAAGTAGGTCTGAGAACGGTTTTCCGAGTGAAAATGAATTTTCGCGCGAGCCACGCTGTACTATCCGCCGCGAATACGAGCGACGCGAATGTCGTCGGGTTGTTTTCCGTTGTCGCGTGTCTGCGTCGAGGACACTCGTATCGACAGGCGACAGGTTTAATTGTTGACGCGCGTATTTGTGAGGCGGGATGGATCATTATGAAGGGCTCCGGGCGACCACGTAATTATAATCTCCTCGATGGGAGATCCGCTCTACATAGAGACTCGTAAAACGATCCTCGTTCAGTGCGCTTTTTTTCTCCTCCGTATGAGGCGTATACGACTGAACGAACGAGAAGCCAGGAATGATATATTCCGAATGCACCACCGCCGGGCAGCCAGCTCGCCGTCGAGCGCACGCAGTCTCGTAATGATCCTCGACGCGGGTGACTTAACACGCAGAACGACACTGACCGTTATCTCGATTTTTCGAGTCGATTTGGTCGAAGCTGACAGAGATGGAAAGAAAGAGAGAGAGCGAGGACTTTCCGGAGCTGCGATCCTTGTATCAGCACAGTCGCAGCGTTCTCAAACCTAAGCAAACTAAAGCGCGGTTTATTCTCACTGGTTTCAAAAGAAAAACGTTCAGCTTTTGTATTTTTATATTGTCGATAAAGGTGAATATTGTTGACGCGACATTCGAAACGTGTGGCCAGTTGATCACATTGATTTCCACCGAAAAGAGTCCGTGAATACTCGGATAATTTGATGTGATTTAATATCCGTGCTGAAATCAATTTGTCAACATTAACTGACTGCTACAGTGCACGTTGTACCTTCAATGAACTACGAGATTTTGGAATACTTCATAAATAATTTGAAATAATAATGAAATTTATTTTTATCGCGTATAAAAGCACAACCCCTAATAACAGCTATATAACAGAAATCAGTATACACGAATATTAGTGGTATTATGGAAAACACAAAATGATTCGTGATCGTTTCGTGCTGAATTTTACCCACTAACGACGAATGTGCCATTTATGTTTCTTTCGTATTGAACAACATTGATTACTATATAATTTTATTTTATGTCTTCGGCATTCAATTCTTTGTATTAATTATAACTAGTTATAATTAATTGATCTCCCTGTATCTTCGATAAAAATAGCTTTAATTAGAGTCTCCAAGAAATGAACAGATTAATTCTTTAATCAAAAGTGTTCGCAAAACAATTATAGTCTTTAATGGATTAACGTCTCCTTGTCTACACGTAGACAAGGCAATCAACGGATCCCTTACATCGATCATATAACCGACCGTTTGAAATTCTAGCATGATCGACCATATGCTCGTATCA